GGGTAGGGGGGTGGGGGGTAGGGGGAAAGGGTTTCTCTGTGAAAGGCAAAGGAGAAAACGAGGGAAGGGAGGGAATTTTGGTTTTTGTATAGATGTGGAGGGAAGAGAAAATGTTTTATTTTGTTTTTGTTCATTTTGGTCCATATGGATACTTATTATTTGCAATTTGACCCCTTTATGGGTAAAAAATTACTATTTTATTTTTATTTTTTATTCATTTTTTTTGGGCAATAAAATGACAGAGGTCGAGAATTAGGGTAGAAAATTAATTGGTCCAAACGAGTTTTCTCTTTTACATTGGAGAACATGATTCTAGTAGATAGGGGTGGGTATTCGGTCTGGTTTTATCAAATTTTGGTTCAATTCTTTGATGTGAAAAAGTATGCACCGAATATCGAACCAATCTAATTTGATTTGGTGTTTTTAAAACGACTTTTTCGGTGAGCATGAATAAACAGTATAAAACACTTTAAAAAATGTAAACCATGTTAAGTGGTGATATATCTCACCCATGAAACACTTATTGTGTTTAAAAAATTGTTTTTTTTTTTCAAAAACATTGTGCCTCCAACTATTACTTGAGGAAGACAAAAATGGAGAAGGATTTCTTTACATGATGTACATCATCAAAAATATGTTTGGATTCCTCTTGGGAATTAATATTTGAAGTTAACTATTTAAATTGTAAATCTATTGCTACTTTGATTTGTTAATGAATGATTTAATTGTTAGTTTATTTTTATTTTTTGGTTAATGAAATGCCAATATATATATATATATAATAAATCTTCGGTTCTTTGGTGCATTGAAGTTCTTGGTCCCTTACACCAAAATAAATAGGCGAAGTTTTGAGAAAGAAACACCGACATCTAACTGAAAAATCGAATCAATTTGATTCAATCCAAAAAAATTATTTTTCAATATTTATGCCCACCCGTATACTAGTAGGAACAACTTTTCTACACCATCTTCTGGTACTATTAATTGATATTACATTTTCGATTATCTTACTATTTTTTGTTTCGGATACTTTTTTTCCTCGATATTTTCCTGCTTGTAGATTTCAAACTTATTTTTAAAAACGTTTTTCTTTAGGTGAGGGTCTATCGGAGCGTATCTACCTTACACGAGGTGGGAGAGTAAAATTTGCATATATTTTATCTCCCATACACAGTATACTGCATTTTTGAGATCACACTGAATATATTGTTATTGTTTTGAAAATATAAGTTATAATAGCTCTTAAGATTCATTGCATCTTGAAATCGCATAGATAATTTCGAGTTCATTACAATTTTATAGGAGGCTAAAATTGTTTACGCGACACACACAAAATAGTATCTTTTGAAGAGTCCAAGCAACATAGTCCGAGAGTATAGACAGGGAAAAAAGCACAACACAGACAGTATCCATCAAATAAACATATAGCTATCTTTTAAACCTGTGAGATGCGGAAGAGATTGATTACCCAAAAAGTGGATCACTACTACTTGATAAATATATTTCATAGGACTAACATAGAAAAAAAGGCAGCACGAAGCATCCTGCATTCACGCAGGATCCGGAGATGCAATAAACATTCTATTTTGCTTCTAAACACTTTCAGATCACAACCATGAATAAGTTTATTGTCCTCTAAAATCAACACTACTCAACAAGTCCTTATAGCATATTTGCTTTAGTAAAAAACAGAAATGTCCATTATATTCTCACTCATTCCGGACCACCTTTAAAGTACTCGCCAATCAAAGACGATAACGTTATTGCTACAAAGAAACCAGAGAGAATTATAATGACAGTACTGAGAAAACCTTTAACTATACCCTATGAAATCCCCACAAGTGAGGCCTGAGGAGGGTAGAATGTACGCAGACCTTACCATTACCTCGTGGAGGTAGAGAGGCTGTTTCTGAAGGACCCTCGGAAAATCTTCAACTAAAACCAACATTAATCACATTATGAATATCATAAGACGATTCTTATTAAACAAAGTTCCTAGGCAAAATATATGTCAAGGCACACTGAACATCAGGTACTAGTACTCTCCAAATCATATGATCATATCACAACTTACATCGACTATATGAAACAAGGATGGTATGATAAACAATCGATGCAGCAAAGTTCTAGCCTCTAGGTGCTACAAATATTTACTTGATTTTGGAGCTGAGCGATCATCGATTCAAGTTTCCTATGACCATGCAATATTAGTAGGTCAAGAAGGCAGGGAACGATAGAAATCAATACGATTTGTTCACTAAGTATCCAATAATATCTATCAACTTGTTCGTCATCAACATAACCTCATAGTTTTGTTATGGATATCATACACTCGATAACTGAATCTGCCTGCTTCTCACAGATGTAAAAGGCCAAGACTAGAGAAGAAAGTTTTTCTCCAATGACAAATATCAATGCAACTTTCTTCCTAATAGCAATAGGATTTACTCAGAGAAATGTTGGATATGGCAAATGATAAATTGCTCCGTTCCATTACATGGAAGAGTAAGTAAGATATCCACTTCATCATTCTCGTAAGAAAAGAGACGGATTGGATAGGAGAGCAATAAAAAAGAAATGCTTTAAATCATACAAAACTGAAAACAACAGATTGTCCTAGCACCGTTAACATCCTTACTCGCATTATCAGCAATTACTCCAAAATTTATCAAGGAATGTCATGCATCTCAATTCTGTGCTTATTGTGTTACTAGTTTCTGCATGTACAGTGGCATCAAATATCCAAATGGATACTCGCAGACATATAATGCAGTTCACACGCTGCTGCATATTAGCAAGCAGAAACATAACAAAAAAGCAAATTTAATCAAACTGGAACACCATCAGCCATACAAAAACTCTCCCCCTTTTTACTTACCACATAGTCAATTAACTTGATTCTATGGTATAGTGATTAGCATTCTGGACTCCGGATTCAGCAACCTGTGTTCGACTCCTAGTAGGAACGACCTTATCAATCAATACTTTACTTACCACATATTCAAGCAAGCCACATTAGCTACCGCAACTTAAATGCATACAAACTAGCAGATAACAACTACGTTTTGATCCCAAGCAAGTTGAGATCAGCTACGAATCCTCACTAACCATGCTGCTCATACAAAATTAACAAGATTCTATAGCATCAGGAAACAAGTAATGATCATCAAAATATATTTTTATAAACAAAATGGGGCAATTTGGTTCAAGTTCAATCTATGTTACATTATATGATCAAAATTTGTACACCAAAAGGGAGATTGTCTCACCGGCATAGACGAGCTACAACAAACTTCCAGCCTATCACGAAATCGTGATTCGTGGGACTTCAACATCACAGGCAATGACAAGCACACACCTTTCTCAACACACATCTTGTGCCTTGGCTTTATCCTATTCTCTAAACTAAACGAGAAATACTGAGGAAACACAATCAATTCCTTCAACTCCCTCCCCATTTCCACCACAAAGTAATCGAATTTTGGCTCCAAATTCTCCTCTATACTGTAACAAAACAATGAAGGAAACCTCCTAAACATCACCTTCGCATCTCTCCTCGAAAACCCAATTCTCTGTAAGTAATCCAATCGAGGTATAAACTTAGTCTCCACTGAACAAGAAAGCAAAGTCGCACATTTCGAAACATCTTCAATACCAATAGTACTCTGTAAGAAGTAAAGGGTCGGTCGGAGATTCTTTTCTACACACTTTGTGAGTAGCCGGGGTCGTCGACGGAGAATACCCGGAAGTTTTTCTCCGGTGACAAGAGCTTCCCGGAGTAAAAAAGTGACGGCGGGTCGGAGGGTGGTTGAAATTCCGGCGGTTAAAATCTCTGGGCACATGTGTAAAACTCTCCGAACATCAAGAATACTGAGATTAACAGAGTAAAGGAAGTCAATAACCGATTTGAGGTCAGATAAAGAGGAAGAGACAATAAGGGGTTGTGAAGAAAGGCAATGTAAAGAGTCTACACCAAGTGAATCCAAAAAAAGAAGCTTTTCTTGAAGGTGGAAGTTTTGGGGTGGGGGTGGGGTAGGGAAAGAGGTGGAGGTGGATATGGGGGTGGGTGGTTTTGGGTGTTGAGGGTATGAAATTGTGGAAGATTTGAAGGATTTGGGAGGAGAAATGGAGGATTTAGGAAGTGAAAAAGAAGAAGAAGAAGAAAAATGGAGAGTTTCTTGCATGGTGAGTTCTCTCACATGGTGATTTTCTGGTTGTTTGAGATGAAAAAATGGAGGATTTTGGGGTTGGA